TGCCGTGCTCCTTGTTGCCCTGCGGCTGGTGGAGGCTGTAGGCTGTGCTCTGGCGCAGCTGCGAGTCCTGAAGTGGCCGGAAGTCCGTTTAATCCTCAGTGAAGGGCAGCTTCTGCCCTCAAAGCTTTTCTTCTTAATTAGAGACATTTCCCTTCTCACCACACACACACACGCACGCACAGACACACGCGCGCATGCGCACACACACACCCGCACACGCACACACATGCAAACACAGACATACAGACACACAAATACACACAGACACACACAGACAGACACACACACAAACAAGAACAATTCCTACCCAGGAGCCCATGAATGCCACCCACACGGCTGGAGAGGGGGCGGCAAAGACCAGCCGCCCCGACCGGCCACAGTGAGCCACCGGGAAGCTACCGGTTTGACTCAGCGACCACCTTCAGCCCCTGATCACGGCCAGAAGGCCCTGAGAGGTGGACGCAGCCCCTTCAGGCAAAACCAACACCGAACACACCCAACAGCCATGTTCCGCCCCTTCCTGCCGGCAGACCCCTAGGCCCCTGCTCAGTTTCCTCCTTGGAAACAGGCAAGCACCACCTGGGTGGAAGGTCACTACAGGAAGGTCACAGCAAGGTCACGCATGGGGACGCCTGGTACAGGCCAGGCTCTGAGCGACCTTCACTCCTTGACCCCCCCCCACCCCCCTGGGGTCGGGGCCCTGAACCGCCCTGCCCTGCCCAGGTGGGCCGGCCGCCTGGACAGCTGGGAACTGGCTCCTGAAGGGCAAGGGCTGTGCCCAGCAGACCAGGCAGAGCCCCGGCCGGGGGCGGAAGGGCTGTGGGGCAGGGGCCGGGCTTCTGGCAGGGGTGAGGGCAAAGGGGGAGCGAAACGTGGACCTGAGTTCACAGGTCAACCAGGAGGGCGGGGGGCTGCCTCCACCGGCTGCTGGGAACCCCCACCAGCTCACTGCACCATGACACAGGTGGTCTGCTCGAAGCGCAGGGCCTGTCGGGGCCGGGCACCCGCCTCCCACGCTGATGCTCCTTCCCGGACACCACGTGTCCTCCCGGGGCTGGTCTCCTCTCCCCACCAAGCCCACGCCTGTCCCTGGTGCCACGGCCCAGACGAAGGAAGAACTAACACACACGACAATCAGCGCGATCTGAACTGAGGAGGCACCGGCTCAACCAGTGAAGGGCCAACGGGGAAATGCACAGGGAATGGAGGAAGCGAGCTTTTAAAATTTCTGTTTGTTTATATATTTCTTATTGATCTCAGAGAGGAAGGGAGAGAGAGAGAGAAACATCAATGATAAGAATCATTGATCGGCTGCCTCCTGCACGCCCCCTACTGGGCATCGAGCCCACAACCTGGGCCTGGGCCCTGACCAGGAATCAAACTGTGACCTCCTGGTTCATAGGTTGATGCTCAACCCCTGAGCCATGCTGGCCTGGTGGAAGTGAGCTTTAAAACATGAATGAGCCCTCACCGGCTTGGCTCAGTGGATAGAGCGTCAGCCTGTGGACTGAAAGGTCCCAGGTTCGATTCCGGTCAAGGGCATGTACCTTGGTTGCGGGCACATACCCAGTGGGGAGTGTGCAGGAGGCAGCTGATCGATGTTTCTCTCTCATCGATGTTTCTAACTCTCTATCCCTCTCTCCTCCTCTCTGTAAAAAATCAATAAAATATATTAAAAAAAAAAACATGAATGAATGAATAGAAAGAAAAGAAAAGAAAGAAAGAAAGAGAAAAAGAAAGAAAGAAATATTGATTTCAGAGAGGAAGGGAGAGGGAGATAGAAACGTCAATGGTGAGAATCATCTACCGCTGCCTCCTGAGGGTGTGGGCATGGGTGGAGGAGCTGTTTCATTTCCACAAGGAACGACAGCGAAGGGGCACACTGTACACTTGGGAGATTTCCACTTCACTGACGTGTGCATTTAAGTTCTTCAGCCTTTCGTAACCCCGCTGCTATTGGGAGAGAAGGGATTAAACCCGTGGTTCTCAACCTTCTGGCCCTTTAATACAGTTCTTCATGTTGTGACCCAACCATAACATTATTTTCGTTGCTACTTCATAACTGTAATGTTGCTACTGTTATGAATCGTAATGTAAATATCTGATATGCAGGATGGTCTCAGGCGACCTCTGTGAAAGGGCCGTTCGACCGCCAAAGGGGTCGCGACCCACAGGTTGAGAACCGCTGGATTAAATGAAAGATGCCCGACTCGTTAATCTATATATGGAAGAAACCAGTTTTGTTTGTTTTTAAGTTCACGAAGAAAGCATGCAAAATTCTCCAATTTATTAAAATACTGAACTACTTACTCTCCTAGACTTCGGTCACAAAAGGTAAATGCATTTGGGAGAAAAACAACAATATTCAGTTATAGCACAGGAACTTCCAACCACCAGCAGTGAACTCAATGTCTACGGAGGCAGTGGTCGCCAAGCTGTGGTCCGCGGACCGCTGGGGGTCCGTGAGGTCCGACAGGTTGGCGACCGCTGCACTAGGAAGTTTAACAAGTTATTAGTCTAAAGTCTACGGGTGACACACTCAGACACATTCCTTCATCACAAGGGGGTAGTTACGTTAAATCTCACACTACAGAGTGAGCAGGGGGACCCGAGTGCAGGAAAGTCAGGACACACTGAGGAGCGTGTGTCTGGGGAGACGCTAAGAGCTACTCGTCTCACACCGGCCGAGCAGGAGCTCTGCACGCTGCCACCGGGCCCGGCCCCCGGGAGGCACACACACGCCAATGGGGCGGATCCTACACTGGGAGAACCCACTGAGCGTTTGGCTGCTGCTCGGACAGCCCAGCAGGGTCTGTGAGCACCTGGAAGGCACCGTATCAAACAGCCGTCCTTCAAAATTAAAGCCCTCACCTCCTTCTGCTCCACCTGCAGCGCCGATTTCAGAATATCCCGGAGCTGCACCAGCTGCCTTCGTTCCTCATCCTGGGCCTGTTTGATCTTTAGAAACAAAACAGGGGGGCGGGGGGAGAGAGGCATGACAGAGGTGCAGCGAGAGGCTGGCGTGCACAGGGCACCCCCACCTCACCGGGCCACCTGCCCCCTCACTCCCCCAGCGGCCGAGCGTGGGGCTCCGTGCTCCGAGGGGCACTGCCGGCTGTGAGTTCCTGCCCAGCCCAGCAGCAAACTCAAGGTCAGACAGAAGCAACATTGGCAAGAGAGCGTTTGCTGCATAAAAACTGTGTCGACGCTGATGTGCAGGGGAGGCACGTACCGTGTGGAGATCTGTTGAAAGCGTTTCGATGGAGGGCTTGAGGTTTTCCACGGCCTTCAGTCCGTCCTGGAAAAAACTGGGGGAGGGAAAGAAGAAACAGAGCTCGTGTCCCATGCAAAACAATTCTGTCCGCCAGAGAGAACACGTCTTTAAGGAAAGGGGTTAAAATCATTATGTCATTCCTGGGGGAAACCTGGACGTGTTTCCGGAATAAAAAGACGCTCAAAATGATGAGGAGGGGACGGAAGGGAGCTGCAATCAGGCAACATATTTGTGACTTTTCTTGACCCACGAACACGAGCCCCACGTGTCCAGTTTATAATGGAAAACGGGACTCGCTGATAAAGGCGGTGAAGGCTTCGGTTTGGGGGCAGAAGAGTCCGGAGACCAGCGGGAGAGAGACAGGCTTCTGCCGATGCCCTGCCGCTCGCTCCCCCCCAGTGTGTGTGTGTAACCCTCGAGAGGAATGAAGAAAACGGGGCGGCCCTCGGACTCCAGGCCCAGGGGCTGGGTGCTGGCCCGCGCCCCCGCCACCGGTGCAAGCATCTCCGGGCACGGGGCCTCTCCATCTCTGTGCCCGGGTTCACCAGCCGCAGGCACAGCGGTCTCTGCAGGGATTGGCCAGAGAACATGTCACTCAACACTCTTCCCACCTTCTGGAATGGGGGGGACCCCTCTTGTCTGTGTCATTGCTGCTGTTTTAAGGATGCCCCATTTCTAGACCCCACTGGACGGAGAGGGAGGCCAGTTCTCCCCTTAAATGAAATAAAAGACAAAGAACACGATGACTCTTCTCAAATGTCTCAGCAAAAAGCAAAACATGCCCAGCCAAGGAGTCCCACGGGGAGCCCCCGCGGCTCCCGGAACCCGGTTACAGGTGCCGCCTCACACCTGCAGGGCCCGCAGCCCGAGAAAGGCAGTCCTACCGCCGCCCCGGCACGGCGCTCGCCACGCACAGCCTGCTCCCGGGACAAGTGCAGGCCGGAGGGAACGTTAAGTGGGGGGACTCGCAGGAACCCCGGATGGATAAGCTCGGCGTGGCCACAGCCTCCTCTGTCCATCGGCCGAGTCATCGGGCTCCACATGTTGTCTCCCAAATTGTGCATTAAAACAGTCAAAGGCCTTGGGATAATTTGAAGAGCACAGAGCGTTACACACGCATGTGCACACGCACACACACGCACATGCACATGCACACACACGCACACACAGTAATCCCGAAAGGAAGCGATGGACGATGCACCATTTTTAAAGGCTGCTGAGCTCATGACCATAAAAGGCCAACTAGTTCACTTTCCACAAGTGGCCAGTTGCTACCCAACTCATCAGTTTGGGCAAAATAAAGGAGAAAAAAAAAAAAAAGGAAATCCAAAAATAGCTGTTTCTTAAAAATAAAGTATCAGCACGGAAGCGACCCACTTCCTAAACCGCCTCATGTGAGGTCACGAGGATACGGACCGAGGGCGTGTGCCCTGACCGGGAATCGAACTGGTGACCTTTCGGTGCACGGGACGATGCTCCAACCACCTGAGCCACCCTGGCCGGGCTGACTGTCTGCTCCTGAGGAAATGGGCCGGGGCGTTGACTTTCTCAGTCTGTAGCACGTGACACGTTTACCTGGCGGATGGTTGCCACGGTGACCCCTGTGGACCGGAGCTGAGCTCTGCTTGGAATTTCCGGTGCTTGTCTCAGGGGGCCGAGGCCACTCCGCGAGGGGGAGGGGCGAGCACCGAGCTTGGGGAGACGCCTCCGAGGTGGCGCTGACCCGCCCACGGGCGTGCTGTTTCCCAGACGCAGAGCCCCGACGCGGTGATGGACACGCAGATGGCAGGCTCGATCCCCGGTTGGGGGTGTGGGAGGCAGCTGATCAATGTTTCTCACATCAGTATTTCTCTTTCTCTCTCCCCCTTTCCCTTGTTCTCTCTCCAAAATCAATAAAAACATTTTTTTAAAGAGTGTACAGGTCAGGGGGAGGCCTCGCACAACAGGAAAGATGTTGCCATGGAGATACAGGAAGAGAAGTCATCGCGTCAGGGCCCGAGCAGGAGGACTTCCAAGTAGCAGTGACATCTGAGCAAGGCCGTGGGGAGGGACGGAGGCTGGGGAAGGCACGGAGGAGACAGACGGAATTCTGGGGAAAGGGGATGGGACAGTGTGGGCAGAGGTGCATCGTGGGGGCAGCCGCCGGGACAAGGCAAGCATCCAGGCGTGGCCATGCGCCTCGGGCGTCTCCAGTGGGTCCACACCTCCCCCGTCAGCGCCAGCAGCGCCCGATCGGCACTTGCTGAATGGGTTTTCCGCTTCAGACTTTCCAAGAGCTCCCCCCACGCACCTGGGATGAAACGCAAGCCCTTCTGCAGGACTGGGAAGGACGTCCGGGTCCCTAAGGCTCTGTGCCCGGTTCCCCTCAGGCTGCTCACTCAGGGGTGAGCCATGCGGGCCATTCTGCGTCAAGACCTCCACTTGGCCCGGCATGTTCTTCCCCTGCTCCTCATCCGTGGAGCTCAGAACACACGCCTCCCCAGAGAGGCCTGCAGCTCACTTAGCAAGTACGTGAATGCCTACTATGTGCCTGGCCTACTATGTGCCGGCGCTGCGTTCCGGCTGCTGGCAAACACAGCAAGGAACAAGAGAGAAGAAACACCCCTGCCCCTGCCCTCCATGTCCATCTCAAGGAGATCCTTCTGTTACTTTCTTAGATTCCTACACGTTAGAACACGTGCTACATGTCATGTGTCAATGACACATCTGTTTGCGGGAGCCCGACACCCCTGCTGGACTCGAGCGGGAACCAGGCCTGGGGTGGGCGTCACTTTATCGCCGGCATCGAGGACCGTGCTGGACGCACACTCCACGCAAGTGTGTGCATTAGCGGCGGGGGGTCAGGGCAAAGCAGCAGGACCAGGAGCCGGGAAGACAGCCAGCTGGCGGCGCGGGCGGACTGTGCCGGCCTGACGCGTGCGGCCGAGGTGAGTGCGGGGCCGCCCTGAACGCGGGCGTTTCCCCGCCTCCCCTGCAGGCGGCCTGCTGTGCTGTCTTTGCGCTGCAGGATACCTCACACCTGGGAGCATGTCTTAACCTGACACGCTGAATCAGCACCCCCGAACCCCCGCCTTCCTCCTCTAACCAGCACCACCGGAGGTCACGGGCGGGGTCGGACTCCATGGCCCTCTACAGAAAGGGCGAAACAAGCCTATTGATAAAATCGATTCTTATGTTTGTGTTCTCATTGAGATCCCACTCTCAGACCGTCAAACGCACCCTTGTCAGTGGACAAGCCAGTGGTGGTTAGTATTTCCACAAAGCTGTGCAATCGTCAGCACTGATTCCAGACACTTGGATCCCCCCAAAAACCCTGTTCTGTGAGCAGTCATCCCCGCGTTCCCCTCCCCCAAACTCCCCTCCCCCCACAGGGCGTCTGGTCTGGCTTCTCTCCCTTAACATGTTTTCGGGTTCATGCATGTGGCAGCATGTGCCCATCCCTCCACTACAGACGATCAAAAGAGTGCTGATTTCCTTCAGCACAAGACTAGAGGTCAGCG